AGTCTCTCGGTAAAATTTTGCTGTGTGACTCTCTCTAAACCTACGTTGAGCCTCGTGGAACGAGAGTCCATCCTTGACCTTCAGGGTCCTAATTTCTTTCCCGGCAATGAACGCCGAACACTTTCGGACAGACGCCATGTATGCCTCCTCGCAGCTGGCACGTTTTGGGTATTCAGACGCACAGTTCTGTATTTGGTGTCCTACGCCAGCGTACTTTCTGCATTTGGGTGCCTTCCAACACTTGTTCGTGAGATGTCCAGATAAATGGCATTCATAACGCCTGACAAGGTCGGGGATATACTGTCGACCCGGAACAGACTGGTGACCGACCGTGGTTATCTCGGGTCGGACGGTGCGGTGACATGTCCGGATGACAGCATCCGTGTCCGTGACACTGCCTATCTCTCGACGGAGGGTGTGTCTCTCCGATACAATGCCATGCTTCGGCAGCTCCTCCACTTCACCACCCGTCGACATACCAAAATACCTCTTTTCGGGTACCAAATGTGGCGATGTTCACATTGAAAGTAGTTTATCCTCAATGGTATCAGTATTTCTTCCTCGTCAAGTTTGGCTGAACGAACAATCAAGAATAACGTCAGCGGTTCAGTCATATCAGCGCAGCTGATGTTTGGGTCGGCGATTGTGTGTTGGTTTGCTATGAGTTTGTTTTATGATTCGGTGCGCTGACTTCCCGCCGACCATGGAGCCCAACAGGGGGACGGGCCGCTTCAATGAGAGGCACCGCCAGAGATACCAGCGCGCTATACGCAGGCCTATGCACCGAGAGTTGCTGCGAGAGCCGCCGGGCAAGAGTTCGCGGGGCTAGAGCCCCGGCTCACAGAGGCCAATCAGACACCCTGGCCGCGAGCCAGGACACGGCCCAACCAAGGTAGAAGAGGCAAGATCAGCACTCGGCGGCCCCCCCCCCCCCCTCAACGCTCGTCACACCACCTGCGTGACTACTAATCAGGACTGGCGCCGGGCTAACCGATTTACTTGTGATATGCTGACTGCCAAGAGTAGCCCGCAAGGCAGCCCCCTAAACGCCCTGGTTAACCACTATCGCACCTGTGGCGACGACTCAGCACGGCAGCCCGAATCAAGCTTAAAAACTGGGGCACAGGTGTTGCGAATTCCCTGCGCTGACCGAGGCCGGTGCGAGAGGCAATTTTGGTCGGCCTCCTGTCATTCGGCCCCGAAGGGAGCTTTACAAGCCTCCCTAACCCCCCGCAGGGCCACTGGAACATTTACCCCCACCACCACCACAACCACCACTATCACCACGGAAAGGTGGTGCCTCACGGCGTGGGGGGGGGAGGGGGCAGACACATGCGCCATCTGGCAATAGAACTACACGCGCACACGCACACGCACACGCACACGCATACGCACAACGCGCACGCACACACACACACACACACACACACACACTATATATAAGATATATATATATATATATATATATATATTATATATATATAAATCGCCATAGGGTTTCAATCTAGGTGTTATAAGCACCGATCTTAGCCACTAGACCGTAAACGGCGCCAGCGACTCGTCCACCTGACGTCCACCTGAAGTGTCCGACTCTGACACGCCGCGAAAGCCTGCTCGGCGGACAGGGCGCCGGCTGCATCTAGTACAGCGATCGCGGTCGCACCACGCGGCGGACGAGCGCAGCTGCCCTGCACAGTGAGAACGGCCATACCACGCGGCGGACGAGCGCCGGCTACACCCGGAACCCGAGCACGATCCTACCACGCGGCGGACGTGCGCTGGCTCACCTGGTCACCGAAGAAGGTGGAGTTGCGTGAGTGGAGCTCAGCCAACGCTGGTACCAATGTCAGGTTGGAGGCCGTCGGTCGGATGAGGTAGAAGATCTTCTCGCCCTGCGGAGGACAGCGGCTCGGTCACCGGAGCCGACCAGCATTGCCAACTGACGACGTCAGAAACGATCAGACACACCGCCAGCAGCGCCCATCATTTGTCCCCTTAGTTCGACGATCACACGGAAGGACGTTCGGCGTTTCAGGCCCAAAGGGCTGTCGCCGTCACGGCCGTTCAAAACCGAGACCGTAGCAACAGCTCAAGATAGTTTGGTTGCCTTCCAACGCGTAGCAGGGCCCTTGCACACAAAAACAAAAACAAAAACAAAACGTGCGGGACGTAACTCCACGGTCAGGTCACTAATGTGTCCGCACCACGCCCCCTGGGCGAACGGACACCGCCGGAGGTCACACAAGACGCGAACCTGAAGGACGTGGTACCAGACGGACGTGCCGCCAAAGTCCACGTGGAAGTCTGTGTAGGAGTCGGCGGCGCTGATGAGCGCGTACTTGGTGACAGTGGGCTTCTCCACGCCCTCCGGCGACGGTGTCGGCCACAGCGTGGTCACCCAGCACAGCTTGCGCACGATGTAGGGCGCTTCGACCAGCGCTGACAGCCTGCCGGGCCGCCGCTCCTGTCAGCGCGCCGCCAACGACGCCGGCCGCGCCCGGCTCAACACAGTTCCCCCCGAGTCCGGTCAACGCCTTGCCAAGTGGCACATGTGACGGCAGTTACGGCTCACGTGGTAAAGGCAAAGATGGGTTCCAACACGACCACACTGGACAGTGACAACGCTGGTAAGTCGACGGAGCCCACAGAGCGATTTCAGGGTAATCGAAGACGCCTCAACCATGGTGACCGGCGAGCACCACGCAGCCTGCGGTGCGGCACTCGATGGTGCTGTCCAGCTTTAGACATCCGCAGGCCCACCCTACCGGCCCAGAGGCACCCATTGGCGGCTATGGGCCGCCCCCTGGTCCGTCTGGGTCGCTCTCTCACCAATCCGCTCCACTTGATCGACCCCCTCTCTCACCTGTGCGGGGCGCCATCTGGCCACCCCAGCCACGCTTACTGACGCGTGCGGGGTACCATCTGACCGCCCCAGCCTCGCCCACTGACCTGTGCGGGGTCACATCCAACCGCCCCAGCCTCGCCCACCGACCCGGTGCCCCAGCCACTCTTACTGACGCGTGCGGGGCACCACCTGACCGCCCCAGCCTCACCCACTGACCCGTGCGGGGCACCATCTCACCGCCCCAGCCTCGCCCGCTGACCCGGTGCGGGGCACCATCCGAACGCCCTAGCCTCACCCACTGACCCGGTGCCGCTGAACTCGAGGCTGATGCAGTTGAGCGTCTCTGCACGCTGCCGGCTGCTGAAGTACTCGGCGAGGTCGTGCATGCTGATGTGTATGTCGCGCTGCCGGCTGACGTCGATCACGTCCACCTCGCGCTCCGAGCCTGCGTGGACGGCAGCTGCCGGTCAGCACAGCCACACCCCGCACCACAGCCCGTCAGCGCGGTCACATCCCGCACCGCAGCCGGTCAGCACGGTCACACCCCGCACCGCAGCCCGTCAGCACGGTCACACCCCTGACCCCCCCCCCCCCCCGCCGCCTCGTCAGCACGGCCACACCCCGCACCGCAGTCGGAGCACCGTTCGTGCCGCGGCTGGGCGGCCGCCGCTGGTCGCTGACTCGGCGCTGGACTCGTTCAAGCAGCGTGACCCGTTGCTCACGCACATACGCGGCACTAGTCTAGCGCATGATCTGACCGCAGGTATGCTACGTCGACGCTAAGGTTCAGACTATCTACGGTGGAAGCTGAACCGTATCGTGTACGAATGTGTCCAGCAGCACGGCAGCTGGGGCTACATGTGGTTATATCACCAGCGTCCCGTCACATCACCAACCCACAACACATGGCAGCCGCGGGCCCCCCGGCGCCCCACATCGCGGCGAAGGTGACCGTACGCACCCACGTAGTTCTCCACGTCGTGGACGGTGAAGGCGTTGGCGGGCGGCAGCTGCATGCCCAGCCCCTCCAGTGAGTCGAGCAAGATGGGCCGGTCCCAGCCGTGCTGGGCCAGGTACGGCAACGTCAACTGCTGACCGCGCAGTCGAACGATGACGTCATCAGCGCTGGGGCGGAGGGTCAGGCCAGATCAGTCGCACACCGACAACGGGCATATCGGGTCAGCGGTCAGCTGTACAAAGGATACGCACGCACGCACGCGCGCACACACACGCACACACAAACACGCATTATGTGGACCCGCCCGCTCTTAAAATGCAGTCCTAGCAATCGAAATGAGATAACATTGCATTTTCAATCTGTGGTTTCGCACTTCTCGCATTGGGTCCCACAGCACGTAAATAAGCCTCGAACAAGCCTCGCATAACTTCAACAGTTGTGGCAGTCACGAACAAGATCATACAAACCAGTGTGCAACATTAAAATCGATTTTTAGGACGGTTTGGCAGCGCTCAAGGCACCTCACGCTCTTATCTGAAGCACCAAAAGACGAAAATCACCCGGGGCCATCAGTGTATACCTTTCGAAGTGGCGGGAGCGGAGCTCTTTGATGAATATGGGAGTTCCAGTTTGAACCGGTTTTGCATCGGCGTTCAGCTCGTAGGGGTCATGCCGGTGCCAGTTCGTCCTTTGCTTGTCTGAGGTAAAAGGGTGACACTCGTGCTCAGATGTCGGTTGGCATGGCATCAAAGTGGGCATCGTGTGAGATCTTCGAGCATATATTCTCTTTAATAAACGGGGTGTCCCATTTTTGGGCATACTTCAAAAACATACTTTAAAAAATCGCAGGATGACCTACACCCAACAATAGCACTGGGCGGCGCAGTTGCAGCACCAATAATATATAACGAGAAAATGCATTTTCATTACTTTCTAGTCCAAATTATGCTGCCAAGGTTTGTTACAGCGATACACTTCGTCCTTTGTATTCCCAGAGTGGAGCGCCAGTCCGCGGCAGCTAACGACGGCACGGTCTGGCGAGGGCCGTCGTCAGCTGTCACGGACTGGTGGTACTACTTTTGAGCCGTTTTAATCCGCAAATCGCGGGCCTACGGGCTGCAAAAGAGAAATCTCTTCTGGTGTGAATAACGCCAGACAAATGAAAGTTTGTGATGGGCGCGGTGGGCGGCTTACGTCATTTGCCCCAAAGCGCAATGGTTGAAGCTGGGACCAGTGCCTCACTATATAGACCATGTGGTACGTCCGTCTCCCGAATTCAAAATGCACATCGAAAAGAGCCACTGTGCCAAATGTCATGGTAGATAAATCAAAACCACAGCGTGAAGTTTCGATGAATTCGTGATAATGACCTTGTACTTGTACGCATCCTCCCCAAAGTGTGCCATGCTTTCGGAGAATTCACTCATCAATCGTTCCGACCAGTTGTTGTGCTGCTAACATTATAAAATACACACTTTGAGGAAAACCAACAAAAAAACTGTTTAGTGATGAGCACGAAGTCCTATAGAATTTTCCCGTCGGAGCGGCAAAATCTAATAGCAATTCTGGGCCATTCAGGATTGCGGGAAAACTGGCACTACAGATCAAACAGAACGCGTCTGATCTAACAATAACTGAAAAGTACAGGCTGGCATGGTTCGCTTAATTATGGTGTTTCAGCTACTAAACCACACCGCAATCAAGCTTTAGCCGCGATGCGAAATCGCACGAACATACGGAGCTCGAGCAACCAAATTTTGACGCACAAAATTCAAAGGATGTTACAAACACGACATTCTTCACACGGAATGTGCTAAATTTGTCTCTCTTGCCAATTGCTCCGAAATCGACAAGTACGACGCCACTTAGAACATTGAACACCACAGATGCGCTTTTAACAACACGATTTGTAATATTCTTAAAAAGGAGCACTCCGCACAAATCCCGAATGCCTTAGTCATGCAAAACAAAGTCAAGCGGAAAGGGCAGAAGCACTAGAAGCGCACACAGGAGCGGCTCTACTCGATGGACAGGCAAGCACAATGGCCGACGACGAGCTGGCCAGCGCTTTGGGCCACCGGCAGCACGCCATCGCGGGCACGAGCCAGGCCCACATGCGGCGCCGCACCGACCCCAATGTCAAGTACGCCCACCCCTACCCGCAGCTGGAGAAGGAGTACACGCGCGAGCAATGCCACAAGCTGGAAGAGCTGTTCGGCGAGGCGGATACGGACAACGACGGCTTCATCACTCTCGACAAGCTGAAGAAGTTCTGCGAGAAGAAGATGGGCCGCCCCATCACGCACCTTGATGCCAAGAAGATAATCGCGCTCGGCGACGACGACAAGGACAAGAAGCTGAACCTGGACGAGTTTATGCGTCTGTGGCTGAAGGTGGCCGCCGGCCAGGCGCCGCCCGCCTCCGGCATGGATGCCGTCATGGACACCAACGACATCCGACCGGACATCTCCAAGAACCCCAACTTCACCGACAGCACGAACACGGCCGGCAGCATGAAGAACAGGTTTGAACAGCTGGCCATCTCGGACCAGCGGCAGCAGCAGCACGACGATGCGATTCGGGAGGAGCACCACAAGCTCCGTCAGCGACAGCGCGAGGAGGCCGCGGCCCAGAGGAAGCTGGACGAGCGACACCAGGCCATGAAGAAGAGGGGCGCACTCTTCGAACAAAAATAGATCCATTGCGTTGGCGGATGCCCATGTGGTCAAAGCAGAACAAACTCTGAATGACAGTGCATGTCAGTGGACCTCAGTCGAGAGCCTCGTAATTCAACTGGCATGCTATCTAGCACAATGTAATTACCCCCGAGGAACCAAATATTGCACGTGAAATTTCTAAAAGTGCCTACACTGCACACGCTTGTTGGTTGTTTGGTCAACCCTAAATAAAATAGCATGTGGACAGCCTTTTCCAACATTGAGAACATGTACCAAACAATCCTTTAAAATAAAGTGAACAGCACATGAACATGAAACACCAAACATGAACACCAAACAATCCTTTAAAATAAAGTGAACAGCACGCAGTCGGCTTTTTTGCTTTCGTCGTCCCCATTATAACATGCATTACACCAGAAGCATTACTGGACACTCATTATACCATCAACTTTTGTACTTTGTCGAAACATATGCTGACAGCATACATCTCAGCACATCTGTGAATACAAATGCATAACTAGAAATGCACAAGCTGTGGGGCTACAGCAAACAAGACATGCACCCACATGCCACGGTAATGCGGTTCGAGAGAACAGTACTTACATATTGAGGGGCCGCACATGAGCTCACACCGTGGGCAGTGGTACTTGTCAATATCCACGCTTTGGTGTTCACGAAGACCAACGCATCTGCCCACAAGCCAGTCGAAAATGTTAGACAAGCAAGAAAACTGCCAGGTCATTCAGGCTGAGGGGGATCTGGAGTCTCCTACACATAAATCACGGAGAATGGCACAAAGCTTAGGACTACATGTCAGCTAATCTCAGGTTGTCTCTCTGCACCAATCATGCTGTCGCAATTAAATGATCACACCAATGTTTCAGTACAAAAACCTTGATTATGGACACACTTACATTCCATGAAGCCAATCCTTGCAGATATCACACTGTATCATAAACTTGGAGTTATCATATGGCTGACCGCAGGAGCACAGTGACTCGCCTGATGCCATTGTTTAGACCTAGGGGAGAAGATACAGTTAGAGAGGATAACCTACTCCTAGTGCGACCTGCAATGTGTGCAGGTTGTGTGCAGTACTGTGCAAGGACTAGTAGTAAAAGCACCAAGCTAGCCATTTGGTGGACATGGTCCCAGAAATCCACACCATCAAAAGGTTGGCCTGGATATTCAGGAAAAGAACACATTGTTTTGCTTTTAAGCCTAGTTTTAAAATGTTTAGGGACTATAATTGATGTTAAAACACTGCTGATGACATTCAAGGTGTTTGCATGACTGATCCTTGGGCAGCAACATTTCAGTGACATACTAGCAAGGCCATATTTTCAGCTGCCTTTAGCTTAGAAAAAGCCCCTTGACAAGAGGGTGCAAGGCCAGGCAACTCAGCCAACTCAAGAGGTCTGACATTTTACCACCTGGTGCTTAGGTCATATAACATAATACTGACTGAATTAGGAAACACTGACTTGTAGGGGAGAAAAAAATTAGATTGCATCCTAGATAGCTGATTTTTACAACCACAACCAGGCAGGACTCATGGCATTAAATCATCAGAGCAGAGACAACTTCTTGATGTGGCAAAGCACACTGCAGTGCATTCCATTTTTTGGAACACATTAACAAATATATTTAAAAAATCATGAAAACATGCCTTCTGATCCCTACAACTGACATAGAAGACAGCCAATGTAACATACCATCTGTGAATCTGGGCAAACATGTTTAACTTCCTATATTGCACCTTAAATGTCAAACCATATTGCCTAAGCTTTCATATTACTAACAGAATCCCCCTCTAACAAACCCTATTTGAGGCACGTGCATTCTGGCAGTTTGAGCAACATTGGCATGCCTCTCATGCAGCATGAGAAACAATTTCTGAATTTGGATCCAGATGAGGCTGGATGCCAATCTTGACTAGTCATCTACCATCTGCCCATCACACTTATGATCTGCCATCTGCCATCATGACCAACCTTTGCTCTTAAAATAAAAATATGCTGCAGCTGGAACATCACATCTATGCCAAACAGATTATGAGTCACAAAAAAGTGAAAGGGATTAAGTGCTGTCAAAACCAATGCCACTATGCATGTCAAGCCACAGCAACACCAAACCAGACAAGGCACTGTTTGATGTTAGTGTGCCTGCAAAAATTTCAAGTGGTCTGCAGTTTTGCAACATAAAGCACCATTGAACTCTTGTAAACACAGATTAATCTTAAACAATTTTGTGATACCTGACCAGTATTGCAAATGCGTCATCACTTTTCTATGATAGGACAAATGTGTGCAGTCAAAAGCCAAAAGAAAAAAAGGGATTTGACAGAGTGGCCTTCAGTATATTCTGGCCTTTCCTTGCAAATCAGGTATGGCACCTTCTCTTGTCCCAATATATCTGCAGAATTTCAGAATTCCTGCATGTTTTAAAAGCACAAATTAGATTTTACACACCATCACACTAAATGAGAAACGTTCTAAATACTGAGAAGAAAAATTGCAAATTACTTAGACCCCTGGCCCTGAATAAGGGAATGCACTGCATTCACAGTCTCACACCAGGGATCTCCTCCTCTGCTACCAAAGCAACAGAAACACTTCCCTGCCTGCCAACCCTATTTAGAAAAACTGTGACCAATCCACCATACGACACCCACTCCTCCCATACCAACACTATTTTGCCCCCCATCCATGTAACCAAGTCTGGTACACTCCAAGTGTGCGTTGCTTGCCTCCAGGCTTAACAACGGAATTACAGTCCTGGGATTCTATTGAAAACTGACTTATACAATAATCCAAAGGATATTACTTTCCAGAAGGCGCGTCAATAACATCGCACGTTTTCGCGCACCCCGAATAACCTGGTAACCTTTGCGACTGCCTCCAACACTGTGGTCTCTGATGTAAATAAATGCTGTCGTTGAATGCGGCGCAACCGCTCTAGGAGCAGGATCTAAAAAACCGATATGTGAAGCCGATACGCTCGTCCTCCGAAATGGCCCTTCCGATCCGCGTGTAACCCTCATCAATCGATTCAACGTAATCAGGTGATTCATGGGATGGTAATACTGAGACCTGACCTGGGATAGAACGCCTCAGAAACCCGAAGGTAAAATGTATTGTGCAAAAGCAGACAACTTAGATCTCAGAACAAACGAAACGATCGCTGTGAAACCATCACCATTGGATGTGTCATGCCCGATTCCCTCTCGCAGTTAAAACCCTAGACCCTAGATCATGTAAAAGTCATCAACATTCACGAACTCCGAGATTCTTGCTCACAAACAGATCAGTTTTAGACGTCACCCAACCGACTACTGCGAAACCTTGATGCCAAAACCACGATGAACATGAACATTACCGCGGCGCGGAGAGGTGCATCGTCGTGGGCGGTGAAGGGGTAGTTCAGTCATATCTACGTCTGCAGATTTTATGTGCCCGGCCGTGAGAGCAGGCTCGATGGGCCTAACCGAAACGGACTGGCTTGGTCAGTGTCTTGCTGTGACAGATGCACATGGGTGTAGGAACAGGGGGGGGGGGGGGCATGGGGCCATGCCCTCCCCCACACTTTTCAAGGTGGAGGCGGCAGTGTTAACTGCCCCTCCCCCATTTTTCAGATTAAGGTTGTGTTTAGCTTACTTTTGCACTACATTAAACATACACGCCGTCTTACCTAAAACACCAGCCACCTTCATCAAGATGCGTCATCTTCGTTTGCTTATTAGCTGTCGCTCAGGGCCGCAGCCGCCGGACCGACGCCGCGCGGCCTATGGAGACTGCAGCGCCGGATGTCAAGGCTGTTGCTGCTATGACTTGCGAGCGCGCATGTTCAAAACCGTATTACATAGTTTTTATCAGTAATTAATTCTGACTGAATCTTGAACATTTTAAGACGAACATGGATTAGCCATGTTAGTACAAATTTGGCACCCCATTTAATCTACAATCTACGATCAGGGAGTCCCCAATATCTCTGAAGAACACATAAAAGATACGGAACTGGAGTCTATGTAGCAAGTATTGAGCCAGCTGCAGCGATCATGGATGGTGATGAAGGTTTCCGTGCTGTCATTGAAGGTTTCTGTGCTGATCTGGGGCCAACTGCGTTGCTCAGAAGGCCTCCCGTCTCAAGGAGGGGAACAATGTGATCTGATGCATCCTTTTAAGGGCCTTCGGATCGACCAGGAGATCCTGCCCCGTGTCACCAGAGTGACAGTCAGAAGACACTTCGCGATGGGACGGAATGGCCCTTTAGCCCTCGACCGGAAGCGGTTATGTGCCCCTGGTGTGCTACTCGAGGGGCCCCTTGCACAGAACAAAACAAAGGGTCTCAATAACATTGTTGAAAAGAGTATGAATCTCATTACTGTTGAATAGAGGGTCGAAATGAGCACAAAAAGAACTACCAAGACCCTCTCATGTTTGCCCGAGAACGTTCATTTTTCAAAATGGATTAGTGAAACAAATTACATCTTCATGTTTGAACATGCCCGTCCGCAACCTCGAGAGCAAGGACGGCGATGGTCTGGGTTACAGTTTCCGTAAAACCGAACGGCGTCGGTACTGTAAGTGACACCAGGCGGCGGGCACCGTGTTAATCTCTCCTGGACAGATAGTTACAGAAACACACGAAATAGAGATTCTTCCTTTACTCTTTCAGTTCCACGACCAGATTCCAGCATCACTTCATGGTGCTTTAAGGTCCGATCCGTTCTGAGTATCAGTCTAAAAATCGCACGGGCAAAATACACGCCCAGACTGCCTACTAAATACACGGTTTGACATCCTAAAACGCTCAAAGGTCCAGCTGTTTAGCCGACGCTGCGCGGCCTACAGGGGCTGCAACGCCTGTCGGCGAGGTTTTTGACACAGGATCTGCGTTTGCGCATGCTCAAAACTACGTAACATAACTTGTCTCATTAATCGCTTAAGTGTTTGAATGTAACTATATCAGAAGCATTATCATTTTCATCTACCGGTAGGCCACGACTATGAGTTAGCCACTGGGCTAACGCTCCGCGTATCATGGAGTCTGCAATGCGTGGTGCCCAGGTTTTTTGCTAAGATGTGCGAGCGCGCTTGTCAAAAAACTACGTTACATAAATTGTATCACTAATCGGTTCTGACTGAACGTTGAACATTTCCGGACAAAAGTGGTCTGGCCATGTTAATGCGCATTGTTGATCACCCGATCTACAAGCAAATTTGCATGTTCAAATTTCGACCAAGCATATTGATCTACAATCTACCTTCGCAATGGCTTTAATGTCTGGAACCAGGTTACAAATTCTAACAAAGCTTCGGAATTTTATTAGCTTAAAAAGAGACCAATAAACCTTTAAAAATTTTGAGTGCCGGTGATTTATTCCATGCAGCCGTTCAGCGCCTGATTTCTGCAGTTTATTAAATCTAAACTGCAAGCGGAATTGATTCCGCGGTAGCTTCTGGTTTCTGCTCTGGTTACAAGGTAAAAATAACAATAAAATGACGAGAACCGTGTCCCTTGTTAACGAGCAAGCTATTTTCGTGGATTTTGGGGGAGGGGTCACGATATGAAGGGCTTTTGTCAGGCCTGCGTTCTTCCCTTGGGAAGTTCTGGATGCGTCCCTGCCTACACACAAAAGCAAATCAAGTTGCCTGCATCGAATGATGGGCAATTGAATATCCGTTGGACCAATTAATACCTAAGGTAGGCAGCTTCCCGGAGGCTTTTTCTGCGGCGGTATGATGTAAGGGAAGATAATTTAGGACACCGTTGCAGGTGTCCAGCATATGTTTTCCACACCAATTAGTAATAACACTGATCCAGAAATATGCAACAAAGCAGCCATGCGATCAGTTCGCAGTCAGTCATGCGGGAGACAGTCGGGCCAGGGCAGTGGCCGCCGACGGCGGACGGGAGTAGGGCACAGATAAGGAATATATGACAGAATGACCTTTATTCTGTGGCTTGGTTTTTAAATGATAAAATTTCAGTTCCATGATTGTTGTCACATTTTGGGGTCAGTTTCGGACTTTGAATTGGTTTCCGCCTAAAATGCTGCGACACGTCTTATCTCGTGAAAAGGAGCCAGCGAAATGAAGGCGCATGACAAATCTGTCGCACTGTGAGCCATCATGAACTCCACGAGTGGGACAAGAGTTGAGACTCATGGGTTTTAACCTGAATGTTGCAAGTGTGCAGATCCATGCCTCCGTTGTTCAGGACTTATAAAGAAATACCTGTGTTTTTTATAAGAAATCAATTTTCCTAGAGAGCACCGCCGTCAGTATTACCCAAGACTACGCGCTGAATAGCATACGTGTTAAGAAAGACTCCTTTGTCAAATTCCACCCGCTCTTTATTCGCAAGTTTCGCAGCAGAAAAGCAGCACGTAGGTCTTTCGTGTTCAAAAAGAGCACAACATTTTGCATGAAAGGTCTGCACGTTGACTACGCCACTGACTCAGACTTGCTATGCCCGGCAGAGAACTGGACGCGTGGCTGGCGGCCGCGGACGTGGCTGACCCGCTCATCCAAGCGCAGCGCCAGGTGCTCCGACAGCTCCAGCGCAGAGGTCGCTGTCCAATCGTCGCCGCGATGCTGCTGCTGACCGCCAGCGTCGACCTCTGCTTTCTCAGCCCTATCAGCAGTCTCCCAGAAGGCGGAGATGAAGCCAACCAGCACCAGCTGGCGCTGTACTGCGGGCTCGGAGTGCTGCTGACGCTGCTGGCGCTGGCCGTGGCAGCGACGGCGCTGATTGACCGGCGGCGAGGGCTCGGCGTCTCTGGGACTTCACCCGAACCCCTCCCGCTCCACACAACATGAGTTGTCAGCCAGAGTCCGGGGCTAGGCCGCGACAGACTGCGGGAGCGCACAGGTGGCGCCAACGACGCGGCACTGGAGGGCGTCGCTGGAGAACGCCAACGTCGAGGTGACCCAATGTATGTCACCGTCGACGCGGCACCGGAGGACGTCTTGTATGCTGTGGTCATGACGGGCTGCCTGACGTCGCCTGCCCCCGGCACCTCGTGCACGGAACATGGCGGCGGGGCCCCGAAGACGCGTGTGGTGCGGCTTCGGCGGGGCACTGAGAGGACGGGCTGTTGGGGGTGAACTTGGTAGACAACGAGCTAAACGGGGTAATCTTGGGGAACAACAAACTGAGTGTTTCAAGTTCCGCACCGCATCTGCTAAAATTGCCGCTCCTGACGGCCCGCCAGCACTGAGTGATACGCTGTCGGGGGTCGACCAAAAACAGATTGAAACCAAATCTGATGAATGTGTTGTGCCGGCCGCTGATAGTCCTATATCAATCCTGTCGAATGTGTAGTCACAATCTTTCAGCTCGATTAAGCTATTTTTTCCGGGCCACCGTATTATGGCCATTTCTCTTCATGTACAGCCACGCAGCCGTAAGCTCTGCGCTGTAGAGTAATCATTTCAACAAAAAAGGTCATGTGCAGAGATTTTAACTTTGTGATACCAGCTGGGTTTATTTTATACTGTTTTATACGTGAACTGAATCTTGGCTGAAAAATCCGTGAAAAACACTGATCTTAGGGGCATTGCGAAAGTACTGCGTCACCCCTGGCTTGTACCTCAGCCCTGATATAGTACAGTTGTAGAAGGTTTCTGTCACAGGTTAGAGATTTCCTGATGTTTACTGCACCCTGATGTTATTATGCTTGGAGACATTTTGTGGCTCAACTTGTTCTTTCAGTGGAACGTCAATGCTGCCACAAGTGCTCTACACAAGTTCACGCTGCAAGCGTGAACGAGTACGTACCAGTTCTAGGATTTGAGTTCCGTCTATCTGGGATGGTCTGCTGTAATTTGTTTCCATTTTCACAATTTTTACCAGTATCTCGCAAAAGAGTTCATTTTTATCACCGATGATATCCTGTAAGTCGATAGC